GGGGAAGTAATCAGTAATTAGTTACTGATTACTTTTTTCCAAGTAACTTGACCAACACTGGTTGCCACACATGGAATGAATCATTGGCTTTAATGTAAATGTAATGATAAAAATATTCTATACACAAATGTTTTTTTGTTGTTGTTGTTGTTGTTGTTGTTTACTACACCACTACGATTTTTATGCCATGTGACCCCTCCTGTCAGTCCTCCTGGATGGAGACAAATACCGGATGGATTTGTCTCCATCTGGGCTCAAACCAGGGTTTTAGTGTACAAACCAGTACACTATGGAAACACTCACTTTGTTAAGTGTTTACACGTCCGAGAACAAATGTCTGATTTATTTATTTATCTTTTTCATTTGCAGTTCAATTCAGTTTATTTGAGGTTTTATGCATTTTTGCATCAGTACCTGAACGACTGTACTCTTCACAAGCTAATAAGCTAAATGCAGAGTGAAATTCAGATCAAATGTGTAATAGCATTAAGCACATACTGTGTTGCTTTGATCCTGTTAGCTTTCTCTGCGCAGGAACTGAACAGGATTGTTCAGAGGTAGCAGTGATTATATCCCAGGCTCACCCTCGTCTTTGAGCTCGACCAAACCTCCCGTTATTATAAAAACCTGCCAGTATAGCAAATTAGTGGTGTGCATGTAAAAAACCTGGTCTTCTCCCATGCATAAATGATGCTGCAGCGTTGTATCAGCACAGCTCGACAAGCTGTTTGCAGTCATACTCAGCAGCTCCACATCCGCATAGTTCAACACAGCAAATTAGGAGAGGCGAAGATTAGTGGTACAAGAGAGTGAACATGGCAGGCTCAGCAGCACACACACACACAGATATATATCCGGTACACATACACTCGATACATATGGCGCACTGTGTAAGCAAACAATATACGAGCATGCCACCAAATGTTCAGAGATGCACTTTACAGAGACGTAACACGGCAGTCTGCAGAGGTGAGACAACCAACCGCGGAGCGTCACCTCTATCTTAGCTAAGCTGCCGAGGACGCTGGGAGCTGTGTCACATCCTTATGGCTGCTGACAACACACGCTCACGTGTGCACGCCTCTTCTCTGCACCATTTGTCTTCTGCACCGCTCTAAATGATATGTTTTTGCAGTGTAACAGTGGCAGTCCAGAGGTGCGTGCCAGGGCTCAGTCGCCCCCCCCTGCGTGGCCATAATGTGAAGTAAACACATAAGTACAGTGTGCCATATGTAAAACAGACGCACCCCCCATGCATGAGTTTAACATTTTTTATTCTGTTTGATTTCTCGTCCTCCACGCTGCTCTCTCTCTCCCTCGCTTCTCTATTACTCTCTCTCTTTCTGACCATCTCAGAATTCAAATGAAATCAAATGGTCCTTGATTTGCATGCACTTACAGAATATTGCATGTGCAGTGTTTGCTGTTAAAGGCGTGGAGAAGAGCGCGCTGGTGGTGTCGGTGGGCGTCTATGTGCTCCCCCATTGACATCAAACGGTCCTCTGATATGGAAATGGGAGGGCAAAGGAAGAATGGCTCCTCACTGAGGCTTTGTTTGGATGTAGGCCAAGGTCTATCCCTCCCTCTCTCCTTCCATCCATCTCTATCCTTCCTTTCTTCCTAACCTTAATTTTCTGCATCTCTCACCCTCACCTGCATCGTTTCCTTTACTGGCTCCCATCGTTAGACTGTTTACACTCTCACATCTTTCATTTCCTCTTTTTTAAAATCTCTTTTTATATTCTGCAATAATTAACAGCCCGATCCTGTGACTTGCTTCTTCTTCACTGATGATCACATTCTTCTGTGTGGCAAAAACGCAGAAACGGTCGGGATGCACAGATTGCATAATGCAGCGATATCAAACATCAGACGTTTGGCTCGCTGAAATTGTTCATGTTGACTGATTTTAACATATTGACAAACAACATTGCTGTCACAGTGTCGGGGGCCTATTTTTAGTTGTAGCATGATTTCCACTTTATGTTTGCTAAATGTTTCAGATGAAATGTGATGAAGACGGGAACGACCTTAAAACTGCAGCTTGTTACTAAATAAAGAGCGCAGCCTAAAGCTAGGTGTAACTGTGTGAACAGAAAACCTTCGAGTAAATGTTTACAAACAGAAAATAAGGAAACAAAATATGTTTATTGATGATCGTTTTAAGCATTGCTGTTGCTATTGGCCCTGAAGTTTAGAATTGTTTACAGTAACAATTTTAAAAGTAGCCACTTTTGTTACTATTTGTTCTCCCGGCATCATTAAATTTGGTCTGATTTGAAGCAGAGCAGCGACAGCCAGAGCCATGGGCCGATACAGTCAGTTTCCACTAGTATTACTCAATCATCATATACATCATACATGCACATTCCTGTTTCAATTACATATGTTATTAACCTTTGGTGGTGTGTGAGCAGTGCATCAGCGTTTCAGGCAGGTAACTTACTGGAATGTTCCACTTTGAATTTTTCTAAATAATTTGTTCTAAATACTTAATTCTCGTGTGCACGCCTCTCATTCAGGCGTGCATACAAGCCAGGCTTTTTTTTTCCACCCTGCAAATGGAGCCACCCCATAAAACTCTGATGTCAGCCATACTTTATGCATTTGGTTAGTCTGCACTGCTGTCTGAGGAGGAGCTCCTATCATCGGTTCTTAGTTTCAGCCATCGTAGGTCAATAAGCTCTGTCATCACGAGGCCTTTTCTTGACAGGGACCAGTTTGATGAATGAGTCGGCTCTCCGGAAATAAATAAATAAACCTTTTAAACTACTGGAGCCACCGTGCCACAGAAAGCTGCACCTAACAAAAGTGCTGCGTGCCAGATGGGAGAGTTTTAGATGGTACCACAAATTTCTTCTGCCTGTCTCTGAGGATGCATGTGCTTTCTATTGTAGACCATAGAGAAAATGAGACGGAGCTCGGTTAAGCAAATGGACAGAGCTAGACGAGAGTCTGGGTCGCATTAGGAGCGGAGTCGCAGGGAACGGGAGCGATACTGTACAAAGACACACACTTGAAATTGTATTCTGTGCCACACGGGACTTTTTCCATTTATAATAAAAATGTTTTGTTTGTTCCTTCCTTCACTTGTATGTCATTTTTACTTTGATGTCCTGATTTTGTGTGTGTGTGTGTGTGTATTTACTTCACAGCACTTTAAGAAGCAGAGAAGGCTTATCCCAGAGAAAACAGTGTGGAAGTACTTTGTTCAGCTCTGCAGTGCGCTTGAACATATGCACTCTCGGAGAGTCATGCACAGAGGTATGCACACAACACACGCTCTTATTAACACAAACAATTAGAGGACTTTTTCATTCATTACAAGTCTTGGAAAATCCCTTAAATTTGTCGTTTATTTTAGTTTTTGGGATTCTGTGCTACCTTGAATATTTAAGATTACTTACAAATTTGTGTGCACTGATCTGCTCTCAGCACGGGAGTGACAAGAAATGGACTGGATTTAACTACGAGACCCAGTAGAGCTCGTATAAAATCTGATGTAATCCTGAGTGTATTATTACACAACATAAGGAAAAAGAACTTATGAGTAGTTTGGTGCACTGGCTGTCAGTAGGTTTCCCAGACGTGGACTAAGTCTAGTCCAAGACTAAAAGAAACATTCAGTGAAGACGTCCACTTAAAAACAGTTTATGGTCTATAACTGTTAGTAAGTTGGATCCACGTCTGGCAACGTGAGCTGTTCAAGTATTTTTAGTAGCTCGCTAAACTGAAGTGAGAATGCTGAAAAATGTTGGAAAATGTTCAGTGTTTTTCTGTAAAGGTGCTTTTTAGTTCAAAGTCAATGTGCTTAAAGTGAATTTTCTTTAGTGTGAATGAGCGTGTTTCATAAGGCGGGGGCTTAAGTGTAGGTGTTAAACAATACATAGACCAGAGAACACAGTGTTTATGGGCACACGTGCTTTGAATAGGGCCCAGTCAAGTCGAGTCCTGGATTCACATGCATAGGCTACACACACACACACACACACAGCTACAGGTGATGTACTTCCGTTTGGACTGACTTTGATTAGGGCTCAGGGACACTAATGAACCCTGAGCTCTGAGCTTTAATGACCACTTAGCAGAGACGGCCTATTCAAAACCCGCTTACAGTTATACGGGAGTAGTAAATTTCAAAGCCCGACGTGGGTCACATTACCAAGGTGTTTGAAACTATGTTAATGTCCAAATGATATTTTCAATAATGGACTTTATGCTTCCAGTTCAGTCATGTTTATTTAGTAGAGACTAAAAGTAAAACTTTCCTGAATTAATATGAAGAAATTATCGTTTGCAAGCTGTCACTTTTCCTTCACTTTCAGACATCAAGCCAGCCAACGTATTCATCACAGCTACTGGAGTAGTTAAGCTAGGAGACTTGGGACTGGGGCGATTCTTCAGCTCTAAAACAACTGCTGCTCACTCGCTGGGTAAGTTATAGCACTCTGTACATGTGTGGATACACCAACAACCCCCACTGCTCAGTAATCTCCCAGTGTTGGATGTGTTTCATTAGGCACGGGCAGCTCAGAGCCATGTGTCATGTAGTCATTCTGCCTGCGCCGTTCTGTGCCCGGCACCTCCGCTGGCCACTTAGCTGCTTCCTGTTACCTTGACCTTTAACCCTGACACAGATGAAAACTGAGGCTGGCGACACAGAGGTCCGATTGAGACTGCGCCGCTTTACAATCGCGGTTATTGTAGAGTTGATGGGTGTTTGTGTCACAGAGGAAATAAAACTGCGTTATTTTTGTTTCAGGAAGTGAGAACTGTCATTGAAGCCGCCGCAGTAATTAAGTCTTTGTCCATTTGGTTAATTTTAAAATGTGACATATTATATAGCCACATGACTGCAGTCAGTGCAATAGTTTTTATTGTTAAGGAACAGCACGGTGTTGGGATGACCTGACGGCCAATAGTTTGGTTTTTAGCACAAAAAAGGTTCTTTGCATTCAAGTTATTAGTTTTCTGCACTGTTTGGTGTTTTTAGTCCGTCTCCTCTTTGTGTGTAATAGACTTCATGAACAGATGCGTCACTATTTTAAATCTGGAACATGTCAACAGGAGAGAGGACAGCATTGTGCTGAGTGTGTTTAATAAAGTCTAGTATAGACACAGAGGCATGCTGGCAATCTTCCCCGAGTAAGAAAAAACTTCTCTTTTTTAGAATAATTATTGGTTAAAATTCATACAAAATTCCCATTTTTTTGTTGTGGTGTTTAAACGCAGCATCTTAGCAACAGCACATACAAATAAGCGACGGCTGCTTATTTCATGCAAATGATTTTAGACATTTTATTGGGTGTTTTAGAAATATAGCCCAGAAACTGCACGTGTGTTCTTTGTTGTGCTTGTCCGTCCTTTTTCTGCATGTTCTGTATTAAAATGGTCATGTGATGTGTTGCACTGCTTCAGTAAAATAGTCGAATGCCCAGAAAAATATAATAAAACGTGTTACTGATCATTGATGGGACTCGGGAACACTGGTTATAACTTGGCCTTTCTGCGGTACATGAAGGTGCTATCCAGTATCCCCTGGGCAATTTCAGATACTTCATAGATTGGAAAAAGTAGGAAAAAAGAAGAATTCCTTGGACAAATATAAGTACTGCCGTTCACACCGTCTCACTTCCCTATGTCAGACTGTTATTACCACAAACAGCGTGCTATTCTCAGCCTCGTACAGCAGCGGCTCAGCCTCTGAGAAAGTGTGAATCACATGATCAAGTCAACAGAAGCCCTATCAGCTGCAGTGCCTGCAGAGCGGGGTGAAAGCGCCTGTGATTGCTCATTAAACGCTGAGTCCACAGCGCCCTCTTTAGGCCGACAGAGGACAAGCAGAGGGGTCAACTTGAATACCCCCATTAATCTGATGCTATCAACATATTTCTTTAGATTTAAGTATGCAGATAATATTTTTATAATGTTTTTTTGTTAATTCTATAATATTATTAATTAAAGTTCATACAAAGTGCAGTAAACAACAAAACTAAATTAAATCAAACCTTGGCATAAATATATTTAGTTCCATCTCTCCAGGGCTGTCTCATGGTCTTCCATGAATTTGAATAAGCTTGTGAAGGATACATGTGAGATGTTTGAAAGATTAATTGCACACATGTAGATATTTATGTATGATCTCGTTCTATAGAGGCGTGTAGCGTCTATAGGTTAGTGAGACCTGCCCACATTAAGGACTAGGAGCGTGTCGTGCTGTCTCCTCTCTTTCTTTGCCACCTCTCTGGCTATAGCTTTTCTCCATCCCTCCCTCTGGTGCTTTGACTTTAGTCAAATAAGGATGAAGGTGTAGGTGAAGGAGAGAGATGGAGAAGGTGCGAGGATACTAGAATCTGAGAGTAGAAGGGAACCAATACTGAAAGAGTGAAGTGAGAAAGAGAGGAGAAAGCAAAATGTCACAAAAGGAAAAAAGCATAAGAAATGAAGAAAGGGTGACAAAGAAACAGAAAAAGAAGTGTAGATGTCCCAGGTGTTAGAGAAGAGTGTGACAGAGTGACAGAAGAAGAGGAGAAAAAGGAAAGAAAAGTTAGTAGGAGCAGAGTAAGAGCAGAATATGACAAAAGTGACAGGAAAAATGGAGGAGAAGAAGGAACGCGAGAAAGAAGGATGGAAAGAAAAACTGTGAGGAAGAGGTGTGTGTGTCTGTGTGTGTGCGCGCAATCGCGTGGGTATGTAATGAGCCCAGCCACACAGCTGAACAGTAGAGCAGGGCGGTGGAGCTGAGATGGAGGTCCAGGCATACAGCCTGTCAGCTCCTAGGCTTTCAAGTCAGCTGCAGACCCCCTACACACACACACACACACACACACACACACACACACACACACACACACACACACACACACACACACACACAC